CCTCTACATGTTTTCATCGGTTGAAGATTTCCAAATTTGTTTTTCTGCATTGCTGGTGTTTTTTATTGTGGACCTGTGGTAGTGCCCCATACGAAGTCTTCACTCCAATAGATCAAATTCGGTTGATCCTAATGAGTCCCTCCACATGGACTCAGCTAGCAGAATGCACTCATTCCGAACCTGCAGTTAACTGTATATCCACCTGTAGAGTACAATTTTTCTTTTCTTTTTTGCTTCTCTATGGATGAATTGGGTTTGGGGTCACCCTTTTCCTACATGCCGCTCTTGTTCTATGAAGGTGGTTTCATTGTCCGCTGAAAGTATTTGTTATTTTATGCAGTACCTGCCTTAGTTTCATAAAAGGAAGTCCTGGGAAGGAGGCTTAAGAGCATGCATAAATTTGGATACATTTTCAGTGCCAAAACGGATATTCTATATCTTGTTTAGCCTTTTATCTGTGTTCCCATATTAATCCCATGTCATACTACCCAAATTTTGTTTGAAGCATCGTATTTTGCTCATACGCTAGCTCGATCATGTAATATATCTTTCGGCTGAAAGGTCCATCTACATGTGTGTTCACAAATCTTAGCTTCCTTGACACAAAAGTAACCTGGCAAGAACATTGAATTAATCGGGTTATCGTATATGTGATGAGAGTCTGACACTTTTTATCTACTGTCATGATTGCTTGCTTTTTCTTGAAATATCATCAATCCCATTGAAATGGAACAAAAGCTTCTCATCCAGTTGTAAACGAAATATACAGCTAGTGTGCCCATCTACCAAACTTGGGTACAAAGCAACATCTTCACAAGAAAATATACATAAGAAGCTAACTAAAAAGAACATTTGTTTTGTTTTGTTTTGTGAGGAACTACAACTGAAACACCTCATTTTTTAAATTTTATTTTGCTATATATACCATGTGCCCTAATTGAGCTTCCTGCTTGAAAACTTGTGAGAAAGCAGTGTATGTAATTGGGAAAAGCTTGTATGTGCTATTCAATCTTATTACTGTTTTATTTTCTTTGTGATGTAGTCACGCTGATAGTGGAATAAAATGGACACTTTCTCCCATGTTCCGCCGGGTTTCCGGTTTCATCCTACCGACGAGGAGCTCGTTGATTATTACTTGAGGAAGAAGGTGGCATCCAAGAAGATTGACCTGGACGTCATAAAGGACGTCGATTTGTACAAAATCGAGCCATGGGATCTCCAAGGTAACTAACTAATTAATCGGCACATTTTTGTCAGCCCATGCAAACATGAATCACAAACACTGAACTCATTGATCGATCTGCCGTGCCCCGATTAATGGTAATTTTGGCTAAGCAGACAAGTGCAAGATTGGCATGGAGGAGCAGAACGACTGGTACTTCTTCAGCCACAAGGACAAGAAGTACCCGACGGGCACCCGCACCAACAGGGCGACGAGCGCCGGGTTCTGGAAGGCGACGGGGAGGGACAAGCCCATCTACACAAACCACTGCCTTGTCGGAATGAGGAAGACCCTCGTCTTCTACAAGGGCCGTGCGCCCAACGGTCAGAAGTCGAACTGGATCATGCACGAGTACCGCCTCGAGACGAACGAGAATGGAGCCACGCCCGTATGTATTATTCGTCGTTCCATCCTTACCTTTATGCATTTCACTTGCTAACCATGGCTGGTTTGATCGTTCAGGAGGAAGGATGGGTGGTCTGCCGGGTGTTCAAGAAGCGAGTCGCGACGGTGCGGAGGATGGCAGATATGAACTCGCCTTGCTGGTTCGACGACCATGGCGCTGGAGGTGGGTTCATGCCGGACCTCGACTCGCCGAGGCAGCTCGGGTACCAGCACCACCACCCCCAGAACTTGGCACCGTACCACAGCCAGCAGCAGCAGCAGTACCACTGCAAGCCGGAGCTGGAGTACCATCACCTCCTGCCGCAGGAGGCCTTCATGCAACAGCTTCCTCACCTGGAGAGCCCCAAGCCTACTACGGCCTACATTGGCCACGGCAGCAGCGGCGGCATCCTGTCGTCGACCAGCAATCACCCCCTCGCGCATGACGGGCCCTCCAGGTTCGCAGCGCAGCAACCGCCGATGGACCATGCGCTTTACACTGGTGAATCGTCGGTCACCGACTGGAGGTACCTCGACAAGTTCGTCGCGTCTCAGCTGTTCAGCCATGACGGTACCAATCCCAAGGAGCAGGCCACTCACTCCAATGCAGCAGTCCAGGTGTTTCAGGCAGAGAACAAGCATGAAGAGGCCCTGGACTATGCTTCGACATCTGCCGGCCTAGGCTCGGCTCATCTGTGGAAATAGCATGCACAAGCAAGCACAACTCCATTGGACATCCTACACAATTTATACAATCCAGACCTGATCTAGTGTACAAATATAGCTGGCCATGTATGCCATGATTAATCATGGTATATATATGCACACACACATATATATACATAATAAATATGTAACCGAAGTGGTTATGTAGTATCTATAGTAGTACTATTTGGTATCAGGTCTCTGGACCTGATGCTAATAAGGTAGCCGAAAGTTGAGGCTAAGGGGCTTCAGTGACTGACTTGACCATTTTGTGAAAATAGTCAAGCTGTTGATGGACGTCTATTTTGTGCAGTCCATCACACAAACGGCAGCTAAGGACACTGCCGATGCACCAACAATGTTTTACCAACTCTATATATGTACCATGTATCTCTCAATTCATTGAAACGGAATGGAAAGTATATTTATTGACAAAACTGCTTTTACTCCTCTGGTCAGATAGCTAGGATACACTAGAGAATGAAGCAATTGGCACTTTTTTTACAGCGACAGGTGCGTATAATATGTTATGATACATGTACATAGTTTACAGAAGGCATCAAAATATTTATTCAGTGTCAATACTTTACCTACATTCCTCAGTTTACCTTTTTCCCGAAGATTCCCTAGTTTAACTGATTCCCTTGCATTGTCACAACATTCGGAGAAAAGAAGATGAAAAGGCTGGATTCTATGAATTTCTGATCCATTCTGCTTTGTCTTTCACCCAATCTTCAAATTTTCCATACATATACAGCATTAAGTGCTCAACTTTTACCGTATACTGGATCAATCCCCGTTACTTCGCATCACACAAACCACTAGCTTCATCACAGAAACCATCACGGTCCAGAAGTTTAGGTGGCGGCGCACTTAAAAGAGGGGAGGAAGGGCTCCCATATGCGTTGCGGCGACTGTTGCCACATCCAAGGCTTTTCCGGGTGCTGACTCCAGTTATAGGATTTGTCCCACTTGCATATTTGCACAAAGCCTACAGTTAAGAATTATCAGAATCGGCATCTTCTATATGTGTGCCTAAGCTCTAGAAAGAGAACTCACGAAAACATTGAAGATCGACCCTGATGATCACCAGAGTAGGGCGATCCTTTGGTATATCATGGTTTCATGGAGATTCTAAATACGGAACAATATATTCGAATAGTGCAGTCAGAATTGACTTTATTACTCAGTGGACATATGAACAATTTCCTTTTTCTTCCTTCTACAAAGTGCAGCTTCTGTTCAGAGTTTATGGGCGAGCTCTTACAAACTAGACACATTAATCCAATAGGAAGAATTCACAAAGCATAAATGATTGTAACACTTGAAAACAGGAACGAAAGGAAAGATGCCTCTGAAAGAATTGAAGTGCTAAACTGTTTATCATGGAATCATGAAATTTACAAATGCTTTTTAAGGTCATAAACCTACATGGCAGAATTATGCGATAATACTGGGATAAAAGCAAATATGTACCAGTTTCTGTGGTAGGTCAATAACAGCATCGCTGAAGTCAGCACCTTCAATGGTTGCTCCACCGAGATCACTACGTGTAAGGACAGTCCGTGAAAGCACAGCATTTGTGAGATTAGCTTCATTGAGAACCTGTCCATAATAATTCAATGTTCAAAACTTGCTTAAAGGTAAATCTGCCATGGAATTATTTATTTGGACAACTATCCCTATTGCAATTAAAACAGGAGAAATGGCTCCAGTAGCCATCATAAGTGAATGGATCACTGAACTTGACTTCACATTTGCAAATCTGACGAAGCATATGCATGCATATAGCACTAGAAGCATATAAGAATGTCTGACTGCTCTGGCCAAGATGTATGCTTCACTACATTTTTTTCACACCCCAATGACAAATTCTAAACATGCACAAATGAATACAAAGGCACGCTTACTCCTTATTTTGTAAAAGCCTCTGGATCAATATGAAACCACTGGGTAATGTTCAACAGGAGATAAAGTGTCCACTAGTGTGTGAAATTATTCTTTGTTCTTGAAAATATTGGCAGGATAAATGCATGATAGTTAACATTGGAAATGGCATTTTTATGTACAAAGGAAGAGACAAAATTAAAATATGCTGATGCAGGCAGCAGCACAAGAGAGCAATCACTGTAGCCCACCCGACAAGAGGCTAACGCCTTAACAGCAAATTTGGACTGTCGAATGCTCTGTGCTAGTGGTTGGCATCCTGCTTTATGAGAAGGGCAAAGGAGTTTTAAGTCACTTTCTTGGTGATCAAGGTTTGACGGTTTCTCGCCTTCAGTATATTCAATCAAGAGTAAGATAATGCAATTGGAATATATTTTATTGCTTGTCTGCATTTTCCTAGAGCATCTTTCCAAGCATTTAGTAATGGTGGATGAGAACTCGATGTTTAAATTGTTATTACAGAGAATGCCCATCTTAGACCTTTATTCCATACTTGTGTCAATGTTAAACCTTGGAAGTTTACGGCTGGACTTGTCTGACTATTCATTACTAGATTCTCAAGACACTCATATACACTTGAACATCATAACCAAGAAATGCAGACAGAGATTAAAAAAACACATGAGAACAGAAGAGATGGTGAAGCAGCATGTTCCAGAACACCCCATACATATATAGAAGCAGAAAAGACATATGATCACATTGAATTTCTTAGTTAGCAATCACATCATCAACCAATTGTAGTTTTCGATACAAAAGTTTCCATTTCACGAGCCTTCTATATTTCTTTATTTTGAACAGGAAATGGTGGGGAAACCCCACTTGAAGATAACATTTATTTCAGTCTTCTGTTCTATTTGATCGTTCAGATAATTAGATATTTCGGTGCTGTTAAAATTTCATGCATGAATGACACAAACAGAAGACAATAGTATAGAGCTGGCACCAACAAATTGGGTTTTACTCCGACATCTTGTCTTGCCGTAAATTATTAAGCAGTGTTATCATCATAATAATTCATTGCTAAAGAAAAATAAAATACATTTCATCGAAATATTAAGGTTGGCATAGCAATTTATTTCTGTAGGACACATCAACACATACAGTCTACAGGACCATGACAGTATGCACTACATGTATGGTTACATGCATTTGCACAGATTAGCTGCTAATTAAAACAGCCATGATCAAGCTAAAGAAACCATTCTGGTTTTACCATGCGATCCATTAAAGTGTCACTCAAATCTGCACCTGCATGAAACCAAAACAGCAGTATCGTGAAAATCATTTCATGAATATCCACATGAGAAGATTTAAGTACCGCGTGACAATATTGATTGTAGTCAAAACCACTAGGGTAAAAGTCACAGAGAATCCTACTATAACTTTCCTGTGCCGGTAGCTAAAGCATTATTAGTACCATAGTGATTCAACTTGGAACCAAAAAAAGGCAATGAACTTCATAGTTAGCTTCCTTCGCTGAGTTTATACTTAGAAGAAATAGTGGAGTTGCTTGTAAGTGTAGTAGCTAGAGTGATCTAAAATATCTCTACTGTAGACCTGTAGTGGTCTCCCTGATAAGGCACATCAAAGGACCGCTGATTACTAAAGGAAGGTGATTAATTATGTGGACTGAGGACATTGCACACATCAATTATAATAACATTTGGGAGGACGGCTAACATCTCCAAGAGATGAAAAGGTGTTACTACACTTACCTGTGAAATTCGCTCTGAAAGCAACAGCCTTTTCCATATAGGCACCATTGAATGTGGAACCACTAAAATCTGATTCCCTCATATCAGCAGATGTGAAGTTCGCCCGCCTACATTAATAACTGAGGTCTTAGTTAAAGGCGAAACAATGAATAGGAAAATCTACTCTTATTTCAGTTATCCATGCTGACAAAAAAATGTTGGAGATAAGCATCACAATAACTGCTACATTGTTCCCCTAAATACAGCTTATTGTTGCAGATTATATTATTTTTCTTGAACATGCATCTAAATGCACACCAATTGTATTTTGATGCAGACTTATGGTAATTTTGGTTGAACATTTGGACTGCCTTTCCTCCATTATAAGCAAACTTTATACAGAGAGATCTTGACATATACTAGAAGGACAAACCAATTGGCAAGACAAACCAATCACCAGTATTTCAGAATGCATCGTCCACCTAGGATCTAAGGTCTAAAGAATGTGACTTTCCACCGACAATACAAGCATGACCATATAAGATTGAGCTAGATAACTTCAAATACCTTTTTTTGTATAGAATGCAGTATCTTAAAAACAAGGATATAATATTTGAGGTGCACAAGTATCTACTTTGAAGTTTTCTGGGGTGCATAAATATGTATACTTCTGTTTTGAAAAGAAAAATAGTACACTTCCATAAAAACAACATTGATTTAAGGCCCAAGAAGTCACAAAGCAAGCAATTCTTCTGCTGCATGGATAATTTTTTTAGAACTTCTATTTGCTTCATTTGGAAGGGGAGCCTTGGCGCAGTGGTAAAGCTGCTGCCTTGTGACCATGAGGTCATGGGTTCAAGTCCTGGAAACAGCCTCTTACAGAAATGTAGGGAAAGGCTGCGTACTATAGACCCAAAGTGGTCGGACCCTTCCCTGGACCCTGCGCAAGCGGGAGCTACATGCACCAGGTTGCCCTTTTTTTTTCTATTTGCTTCATTTAGTCCCTAAAAGTTACTCCCTCCGTCCCATAATGTAAGACATTTTTTGGCACTACACTAGTGCCAAAAAACGTCTTACATTGTGGTACGGAGGGAGTACATGTCAGTAGCAGAATTTGACATAGAGGCATGCACGAATTTTAATTTGTCTATATACCCCTATATAGTGTGAGAATAACTTTGAAAGATGGTCGTTGGATGAAGCCAATCCGACGGTGTAAAGATGGCAAATCCGAGCACTACTGGCCGTTGGATATCATCTACATTCCACCAGATTCTGCCACATGTACAATCTAGAAGACTCCATGGTTGAACTTAAGCATAATGCACAAACCTCAAAACACAAGCACTTCTCCTTTGTTCTAGAATCTTCCGTATAATAATTGCCTAAATTTTTTTCTAAATGAATTGCCATTATTTCTTTTTACTTTATGCTTTACAATGCACAATTCCATGAATCTTAAAATAGATTAACTTTTTTATAAAACTAATTGATTTTGAATGAGATGAATTATAATAATTAAACGAACATCTACATCATGCATATATGACTCAAAGCTTACATGCTATAGTGTGATATTTATTCATAATTTGGTTGTCAAATCTCATTCGTGCAATGCACATGTACCTTATTGGTATAGTCGTATAGATAAATTTAAGAATGGAACTGAAAATAAATTAGAAACCAACCTGAAGTTTTCGTTAACATGCACAGTGTTTCTGCAAAAACCACAGAAGAGGACAGCATCAGCAACCCAGTGCAGAAAAACGAGCAGGAACAAGAGACGGAAAGATGCAGGCGGCGAGTGGTACTTGAGGTCCGCATTGCCGAACTGCGCGGCTGAGCCGATGCCAAACTCCCCCCTCTGGTCCGCCTCGTACTTGTTCAGATCCGCGTGGGCAGGCATCGCTACGACTACGGCAGCCGCGAGGGCTGCAGAGACCGCTACGCGCCACCTCGGCGGCGCCGGCGACGTGTTCGACGCATTGCCGCCGCGGGGGCGGTCGGTGGTCGCCTGGCAGGAGATGCGCTGTAGGCGGCCTGAACGACACAGCGTGAGGGGAGCGGAAGTCTTAGGACGAGCGGCGGTGGCGGCAAGAGGGGAGGTGGAAGCGAGAGCCATGGCGGATTAGGAAGGAGGGTGAGGTGGGGAGTGGACGGGTGGTGGCTCGCGCGCGAACACGTAACAGGCAGCACAGCCATCGGACGGGGAGCACGGGGAACGGGGAGTAAATCCAGTGGTCGCAGATATTTGGGCCCTCGTATTGTTTTTGGGCCATTTCTCTATATAAATAAAAGCCCATCTTTCATCTAAAATATAAAAGGGCATTGCCATTGGCCCATAATTTCTACATTATGCGCGTGAGCTATATCTCGCTTAATCAGTCAATTGATCTTGTCCCTTCATGTAGACCTGACACAAGATGTGATGTCCAGGAGCAGCGTGTCGCCAAATGGGCTAGAGCATCCTATATTTTTATAAGACCGTTTAGACATTTAAGACAACACTCAAAACAGTTTAATTTCAGCTGTCTAAAACATTTTATAAAAGTGAACGGAGAGAGTATATGTTTTGATGCATATTTTCTTTTTCATACACATTATACATTTTTGGTACACATCTAAAACATTTTTCAAACACATGATTAATATTTTTCTTCAAACATTTATTTTGATGTCAACTATTTTTCATACACGTTGTAGATGTCTTGTATACATCAGAAGCATTTTTATACAGACAATTATTTTAAAAAAATAGCTTTTTTATGTCTACTTTTTTACATAATTTGTATACATCAGGAACATTGTTTAATAAATGTGTAGCTTGCTTCAAATACATTATTAACATTTTCACATATTTATGTTTTGATGTCTATTTTTTCATACACGATGTACGATTTTCATAAACATTACACACATTTTTTAATACATGAATACAAAAATCATTTTATGTTAAGATGTCTGCTTTTTCATACATGTTATACACTTTACATACACCTTGTATATTTTCTTTATACATCAGGATTTCTTATACATGTTTAATTGTTTCTAATTAACATTCTTCCATATAATGTTTTGAAGACAACTTTTTTCATACACGTTGTACCTTTTTTTGTATACATAGGAAAAAAAAATCTGCACACGTTTAACATTTTTCAAATGTAAGATTAGCATTTTTTTTCAAAATTTATGGGAAATGATCTTTGTAATTTATATTAATAATATTTCAAAATATGAACAATACTGAAAACACAAACAACTAAACGAAATAAAAATGTGAAAATAACGAAAGAAACAAACGATTCTCGCAAAAAAACGAAAGAAACAAACGAGCGCCTAGTGATGAGGACATGGCTACCACACTTACACCCACAACCCCTACTACTATACCTATTGGACCAATTACTAGAGCTCATGCACATCGGTTAAATTATCAGGTACTTTCGTTTCTTGATAATGTTTTTAATGTTCATGAGAATATGATGTTGCCTAATTTAGATACATTTGTGTTGCTTACAATTGAAGGGTCAGGCCTGGACAAGAAGAATTGAACATTGAAGCATGATCAATCATGGAGATGAAGGTGTGTGCGAAGAGAACAAGAACGGAGGTGCCAGTGAAAGATTTACGCACTTTGAAGCTACCATGATGATATCTGGAAGATGGACGAAATATACAAAATGGATATTCATAAATTTCATCCATAGCTTATTATTGGTGTTGCGTCACCTTATTTTTGAGTCAGACCCATGTATTTTTGAAGTACACTTAATAGGCAGTTTTAAGAATCCATATTAATAGGGAAAACGACTTAGGATAGAATTTAGTCCCACCTTGCCAAGGATGGACGATATTCCTCTCTGTCTCTCTATAAAGGCAACCCTTAGGGCGTCGTCTTACAATTGGATTTTAATTAGTTAAAAGTGAGCCGTTGCTGCAATTTCGTGTACTTTATTTGTGTCCAATGACCAGGCCAAGACCATTTTTAGAACCTCACTTTTATCAATATTTGGATTACTTTATCATATTCTTGTTTGTTTTTCAATTGCTTGCGGAATAGACCTTCGTGGTCAGGTTGATCGTGCTTGTGATCAATAATCTTTCGAAGTTGGTTTAGCGATTGCTAAGGCACAACATCGTTCCGTGTTTGTAGTCGGATCATCAAAGTCATCTCCACCAAATTGATAGTTATCATTTCATCGAAAGATCGGCACTCTCGCCTCTATCACTAAGCCCCGGGCCGTGGGGCCGGCGCATTGGCACATGCGATTCAGGCAAACCCTCAAAGCATAGTCCCGAGACCTCCACTTCAGCTTCTTTAGCTCCAGTTAGGCAACCTGGCGCTCACGTGTTGCTCGCCTGCGCTTGGCCCAACAAGCGCCAATGGTTCCTCGCATCGCTCAGGTCGCTTGTCTCTTCCATCGCGCTCATATATTTGATCACTTGGGTCGATGGTTGATCGGTCATCCATGGACCAGTGAGCTCTTGACCAGTCAACATTTGACTTTTATAAAAATAACTTTGAAAAATTAGGAAAAAAATACTTGGAATTAAAAAAAACACTCATTGATGTGCAATAGAAAGTTCACGGGTATCAAAAGAACTTCAATTTTTTGAAAAAAAATCATGAAATTTGATTTTTTTTAATAGATTTTCAGAAAAAAAACTTCAAAGATTAAAAGTTCATAAATTTTTGAAAGAGTTCAAGAACTTGAGAACAAATCATTGACTTTGCAAAAGAGTTCAATGATTTTGGTCCATCAATTTCTGAAAAAGAATCATCAAATTTTAAATAAAGTCCACAAATTTTAAAAATTCATGGACTTAAAAAAACGTTGCTGGATTTGAGAAAAGTTCATCGCTTTAAAAAATCCAACAAATATAATAAATGTTTATGAATTTGGAAAAAGTTCATGAGTTTTTAAAAGAATGTGATTTCAAACGTACAAAAAATAACAAGAGAAACAAAAAAAGGGAAAGGAAATAAGAACCATCCAGAAAACCGACCAAAGAACCGGTTTGAGAAGCTTCCCAAAAACGAGAGCTTCAACGAACAAAAGAAAGAAGAAAAAAGAAAAAAGAATTAAGTACTCAAAAAAAGGTGAGTTGTCTTAGTTGGTTACTGGAATTTATACTGAACGAGGGTGTCCCGAGTTGGAATCACGTCGCACGTACCTTTTTTTGGAAGTCAACAGAAAAAGGAATAAAAAGAAAAAATGGGCCGCCGCATAGGGGCAGGGGGGTGCCGTTTTGCGGATAACACATTTACGGGCGCAGAAGGCATCAAATAGAAGTTGTGGCAGTCGCGCCTATAGCAATCCCAATGGAGTGATCACTCAAAGCGATCAGTAAATGGGCCAGGTCCAGTATGCAGTAACCAACTCGCTCACATACCTTTCTTTCACGGTACGCTCACGTATGGTCTTTATTTATTTTGAGAAACGCTCACGTATGGGGTTAGCTTGTTTTTTCTCACCTTTTGCTTTGCCTAAATGAACGTACGAGATTGCCTCATGTAAGGGTTTGCTTGTTTTATTTCTTACCTTTTGCTTGTTGCTTTTTACATGGATTTTGTACATTTCTAAAATCAACACATATTTAAAAAAATGTGAATTTAGAAATGTTCACTAAGTTCAGAATTGGTTCAGTAATTTGTAAAAATATTCATGAGTTCAAAGAATGTTAAAAAGTTTGTTAAAATCACCAAATAAAGAAGTCTACAATTTCCGAAGAATGTGTGTGTATTCGAAAAATGTTCTTGAATTTAAAAATGTATATATTGTTTTTTCATGAATTCACATTTAAAAAAACGTTCATAGATAACAAATGTTCACAAATTTAATAAAAGGTCACGGATCCAAAAAAATGTTCACGGATTCGTAAAATGTTTTGGAATTCAATTTTTTTGCCAATGTTCACGTGATTTCAAATTTTGTTAATGATTTGAAAAATCTAAATGGATTCGAATAAATGTTCATGAACTAAAAAATTGCTCACAAATTAATTATTTGCCAGTTCAAAAAAGCTTATGGATCAAAATTATGTCCACGGATTCGATAAATGTTCACGAATTTTAAAACTGGTCATGGACTCAAAACTTATCGTAAATTCAGAAAATAATTCTCATTGATTTGAAAAATGGTTCATGACTTCAAAATTGTTCACAAATTCAAAAAATGTTCAGGATCCAAATTTTGCAAATTTAGAAAATGGCCACAAATTCAAAATTCATGAATTTGAAGCACGTTCAAGAATTTGAAATTCATTCATGAATTCTGAAAATATTCATGAATTTGAAAAAAATATTCATGCATTTTAAAAAATGTTAGAAATTCGAAAAATTTCCATGAAAACCCAAACAAAGTTTATGAAAATGAAGAAAATACGAAAACAAAAGAAAATAAAAAACTGTAGAAATAAACCGATAAATGAACAGTGCAAAACACAAAAGAAGAAGAAAAATAGGATAAAAGCAAAAAAAAACAGTGTAAAACAAAAAAGGAAAAATAAGAGCCGAAACGAAAACTACTGAAAGAAAAATCAGAAAAGAACACACAAAGAAAGTCGAAAACCCAATAAAGCAAAAAATAAGCGAAAAAATCATGAATTTGAAAAGAAAAATCTTGAAAATTGAAATGGAAAACATAAAAATGGGCCAAAAACCCGGAGAAAACAAAGAATTAAAAAGTCGGTCAGAAGCTTCTGGAAGTGTAGAAAACCTGTTTAAGAAAACACATACGAAAAAACGAAAAAGGCAGTTGCACGTTACGTAAACACACAGAAAGAAAACCATCCGTCCTAAATGGATCACATGTACTCAAAGATCTAGCTATGTCCATTTTAGAATAAAGTGCCAGTAGGCTTTTCCTTTAAAAAGAACGCACAAAGAAAACCGTTCGTGCTAACTAGGCCGCAACTCACGTCACGTCGCCATAGGCGAGCACTAGTAGAAGGCGGTATAACATTTTTGGTGTTTTAGCATGGTTTATATGTAAAATTTTGATGTGGATCCCTATTTAATGACAAAAGGAGAGCAACAAAATTATAATCTAGATATAGATGTTAGCATGAATCCAAGACATCTAATGGCTTTCTCTCACAAAAGGCATTAATCGAGGATTG